TTCCCTTTGATGCCTCTACGAATAGGTTCCAACAGTGAGTGTTAGCTTAGCATTCTTTAGCGTTTCCTTCTTCTTCACTGTTAGCTCTTCGTTGTTCTTCTTCTTTTTAGCTCCGGCAGACTGGATGCTGCCCCCCTACAGGTCGGAGTTAGAATTGCAGTTTGTGTTTTTTTTTTCCTCATTTCTTTATTTCACAAATTTCACATAATCAATAAGACAAGTGACCAACAGCAGCTCAGTTTCAAAAACCTATAAAGACCACAAATAACACTTGATGACTAAGATAATAAATGTTTTTATGATGAGTTAAGGAGTCTGTAACAGAAAATACATAGACAATACAACAGAGGAGAGTTTTCACTAAAAATAACTATTATATCTTAATTTGAACTGAACACAGATTCTTTATCGACAGGATGTCCTGGCAGTGATGAAGCTTTAATCACGCTTCTTCATCAAAGCAGCTCAGAATAAAACATGAGGAGAAATAAAAACTAAACCAACAATGATCCACACATGTTCAATATTTATGATTATAAATGAACATTTCGGTCAGACTGACTCATCAACTACTTCTCTCCTCTCTGTAGCAGAAACAGTCTGACATTCACTTTTACTGCTTTTATCTGCTTCACATTGTTCATAACAGTTTGTTCATCATCAGATAAAAGAGTGAAAATATTCAGTAAGAAACTTCATGATAATTCACTGCACTTTAATTTATAATATATACTCCTAGACTGACTTTAACTCTTTCTTCTCACATATCATATAAAAGACTTGATTCATGGTTTCTGACGATGTTGCTTATAAAATAAAACTCTGCCTTGTTCACTATGAACGCGCTCGTACCTGGACAGGATAAACCAGAGTTAACTGAGCCAGGTGACGACCAGCTTCATGGTACAGGTTATCAGGACGCGTCAGTGTCAGGTTCAATTTAAGCCAGATAACTAAAGGTTATCCTGGGTATGTTGAGCTTGCACTTGAACTTAATATCAATCCAGCAAATAAAACTTTCTGATGACATTAATATGTCAAAAAAAATGAAAAGTACAAAGCACTAACCCCAACCTTAAAAATCATTCACTTTACTTGATACTTTAATGTTTCCATCTTTACTGCAGAGCGCCGTGATTTACTGCCTCATCTTGTACTGATGTTCACTTTCTGGCTCTAAATAAAAACATGTTGGATGATGTTTACCTGCAGTTACTTTCAGTAGCTGATTAAACCTGACTGCTGAGCAACTGTCAGTAACTGAGCCAGTGTAGATGATCAATAAGTTGATCAGCTCCTCTCTTCGTAAACAAATCAGACTGAAGCTGTGAGCCCTGTGTGTAGAGATTACTGCTCTGACATGAGCACTATTCAATCAATAACCACTAGTGAATACCACATGTGTATATGTAAAACATTTAATTGTGGTACAAAAAGTATCTTCAACAGATGAATCATGAATGAAAACAGACATTTGACGTGCCCCACCCCACCCACCCCCTCCCTCCCCGCAAATACCAGGTCAAGACTCGGGTGTTTAAAGTTCTTAAAGAACCATGAGAAACAGTCACATCTATATTTTAACAGAACCAATCAGACCCAAGACATTCATCACCCCTCCAGGACTGTCGTTTCAATACAGTTTAGAAATTGAAAATCAGCTGCAAAACGTGTCATTGTTTAAAGAACAAACTGATAATCATTCACATTAATATGCAAAAAAAAAAAAGTAATTTTTGCTGAGATGAAAATTATTTGTCTTTGGTTTGTAAAAAAGATCCTATATTAAATTAAATTACATTCTATATGAGACTGCAGTGATTGGTGAATATGAGTATTAGCAGTTTCACCAGTTTTTGCAAGGAATCAGCTGATTTTGCTTTAATCCTTGTGGTTAAAACTGAAACCACTGAGAAATCCTGGAGGGACTGAATCACACCGTGTATCAAAACCTTCACAATGTCTCAGTTTTTTATAGAGTAATCACAGTTTACAGAGAAATCATAGTTTACGGTATAGTCACAGTTAGTCTAACATGCCAGACCTTCATCTAATTCAGATGTTCAAAGGTCGTGTTTCTAAATCAATTATTAAACTAGAAGTCAATTGTTTTGCACACATGAAACAATTATATATTCCATACCCCTCACAGCAGAACAGATACAGGAGTGTTGTTCAGCATTAATTTATCAAAACATCCTGAAATATATTTGAGCCCAAGAGGTAAATTTCTACTCTCAATTTTAGTGTCTTGAACACCCAGACTTTAGGCACCCCAGAAACACAAAATAATAAATGAAATATTCATGTAAATAAACTGATTATCAATAAGACAATACACTCTATAATAAATAACTAGCAATGTAAAGCAGAGCATTACAAACACACAAGTAAAACCGTTGTGAGTTTCCCAAGGGACACACAACAACGTGTAAATACTTGGCAATCCAACTAAACATGAGAATACAGAGATAATCCATCAGAGCATCACCTCACGCAGAGGATCATACGAGTGTTGGCACTGTTTACCTTGTGTGTACTTTAAAAAAAAGATTGGGCATGTATAGCAGTTTAATTAATATTCAGATTTGACAAAGCCAGTTACACGGCTGTGTTTGTTTCAGTGGCCAGCTCTCCACACCATGCGGCGGCTTTGCTGGTTCAAGAGAGGACGCGAGCCAGCAGAGAGAATCTGGCACACCGACCACATCAATTCCGAAGCACTGACAACCCTCTGTACTTATTAAACAGGGCTGACATGTCAATGAAGAAACATTCTGTAACACATAACCATGAGTTAACTAGTTATATGGCAGCAAACACAACGTGCTTATTCTAACACAGCAGCCCTTTCATACAGGGGCTGCATAGGAATGCTCTCCTAAAGAGACAGCTGAGTCGTATAGAGACTCCCAGTCTGCAGCTGCTACACTACATGAACATGATTTACCAGAGATTAAGTTAGAGTTTCAGTTTTCATTTCCGGCGCTATGCTAAGCCGCACTTCCTGTTAGTGTCTGGTCTACAGCTCTGTGAGCAGCTTTGTCTGTTGCCTGAGCATTGATCGGAGGCATCAGTGACTCTGAGCTGCAGTCAGCAAGAGGCGAGACCGGACGACTGACACGGGAGCGCTCCATTGATATAGAGCATCAGCACACAAAACAACAACAACAGAAAAGAGAACCCTGAATACCTTTTCTGCTTTAAGAATGGTCACCGTCGTCTCTCATCCACTTGTTTGAGGTTTTTAGGTAGCAGATTTTATGATGTTGCTAGTGTCTGATGCAGTTTATGCAGTTCTAGTGTTGCAGCTTTTCAGCGTTACACGGTCACTGTGAATGATCCAGAGCCTGCGGCGGTGCATGATACGGCAACTGCGCATTCTTCTAGCAGCTTACAGGTTGCTCATGAACGAAGGTTTTTGTTGTCGCTGTGCGAGCGACTGGGTATACTATAGCTCAACGAACGTGCAAAAACATCCATTATTGGTTGTATATTTGACAGATATGAGTCACGGTTTTATTGGCAGTGGTAATTTTTGCATTTAATTTTCAATGAAAAATTATATAAAAATGATGATGATGAGATATTTTGGCTGAGGAGGTCTGTTCCACAAGCACATTTCTTTAACATCTGGAGATTATAATTTGTGTAGGTCAGGACGTCTCTTGGAGCGACAGTGCTTCATTTATAATGACACGTTTTACCTTTATCAAAAAATTGCCATTATAGCATATATTGATTTTTCCGT